GCAATCACATATTGCAAGGGTACGATTCGTGCGACATAGGTCGATATCCCAGACAGTATTATCCGGGCCAATTACTAGACAATATTTGCCGGGCCAGTATCCCAGTGTTTACCGGGCCAGTCTCCTAGACAATGTTTGCCGGGCCAATATCCCAGTGTTTGCCGGGCCATTACCCTAGACAATGTTTGCCGGCCAGTATCCCAGTGTTTGCCGGCCAGTCTCCTAGACAATGTTTGCCGGCCAGTATCCTAGACAATGTTTGCCGGGCCAGTATCCCAGTGTTTGCCGGGCCATTACCCTAGACAATGTTTGCCGGGCCAGTAGCCCAGTGTTTGCCGGCCATTACCCTAGACAATGTTTGCCGGGCCAGTCTCCTAGACAATGTTTGCCGGGCCAGTATCCCAGTGTTTGCCGGGCCATTACCCTAGACAATGTTTGCCGGGCCAGTATCCCAGTGTTTGCCGGGTCATTACCCTAGACAATGTTTGCCGGGCCAGTATCCCAGTGTTTGCCGGCCAGTCTCCTAGACAATGTTTGCCGGGCCAGTATCCAAGACAATGTTTGCCGGCCAGTCTCCTAGACAATGATTGTCGTGCCAATATCCCAGAAACCCTTTGCCGGGCCAGTATCCCAGTGTTTGCCGGGCCATTACCCTAGACAATGTTTGCCGGGCCAGTATCCCAGTGTTTGCCGGCCAGTCTCCTAGACAATGTTTGCCGGGCCATTATCCAAGACAATGTTTGCCGGCCAGTCTCCTAGACAATGATTGTCGTGCCAATATCCCAGAAACCCTTTGCCGGGCCAATATCTCAGACCATGCTAGCCGGCGAGTCTCCTAGACAATGTTAGTCGGGCCATGCTGGGGTCACATCCCAGACAATGTTGACAGGGCTAATATCCCAGACAATGTTTGCAGGGTTCATATCTCAGACAGTGTTTTTTCTATCCCCAGCTGTGATCGGTCCAGAGTGACTAGGGCCTCGCTTGAGATCACTCTAGGGTGGCTTGGGGTAAGGCTGAGATCACTCTAGGGTGACTTGAGCTAAGGCTGAGATCACTCTAGGGTGATTGAGCTAAGGCTGAGATCACACTAGGGTGACTTGAGCTTAGGCTGAGATCACTCTAGGGTGACTTGGGCTAAGGCTGAGATCACTCTAGGGTGGCTTGGGGTAAGGCTGAGATCACTCTAGGGTGACTTGAGCTAAGGCTGAGATCACTCTAGGGTGATTGAGCTAAGGCTGAGATCACACTAGGGTGACTTGAGCTTAGGCTGAGATCACTCTAGGGTGACTTGGGCTAAGGCTGAGATCACTTTAGGGTGACTTGAGCTAAGGCTGAGATCACACTAGGGTGACTTGAGCTTAGGCTGAGATCACTCTAGGGTGACTTGAGCTAAGGCTGAGATTACTCTAGGGTGACTTGAGCTAAGGCTGAGATCACTCTAAGGTGACTTGAGCTAAGGCTGAGATCACTCTAGGGTGACTTGAGCTAAGGCTGAGATCACTCTACTGTGACTTGAGCTAAGGCTGAGATCACTCTGGGGTGACTTGGGCCTAGGCTCACATCACTCATCCTAGACTCAGAGCACTCGTAGGTTGAAATGACTCCTCGGTCTTCAATCACTCTATTTCAAATATCCATGTTTGATTGTATGTTCTGGTACCTTTGTGCAGATGGTTGATGTTGTGGGGTGTACGTGTTGCTTGAATGACCCATATGTCCACCCCATGTTGTTGCGTCGCTGTCTCAGACACATACATCCTGAACGTCCTGTAATGTGGTCACGACTTCGAGGATCCGCATCTCTACATACTTAGTGGTCCACTCTTTACTTACTTACGAAAAAGCGAATACGTTTACGCTAAAAATATCTCAATTCGGACTGATGAAACATATTTGATAGTGATCCGTAGACACATGCTCGATACAGTCGGAATTGAACAACGGACTTAATTTACATTAAGCAGTGATTTCTTATGATTATTTAAAGGGTTTTGTCGTTTATATTTAAGAAATTGTATTACAAATTGTTAAACCAGAAATGTTTTTGTGTACTTTTTAACGTTTATAGATTATCTTATTAAATTTATATTTCTACATGGAAATGAATTTATGATATATGGTACCTTTCCTAGCGCGTCTGTATATGTTGGGTTGGTAATAGGTGGTAAAAGTGCATGTTCCCCTCAAACAACATTTACGCAAAGAAACAACTTCGTGTACATAATTGGAATCCCAAATAGCATAGTACATTCCAAACAGTACTGGACAGAATCTGTACCTATTTTACATGTACACGATGGCTATATGGGCTACGTTAATTCGCGTCTGACTTCAAGGCATGTGTACCGGTATGATAATGCTCTAGAGTGAATTATTAAGGGATATATTTGAGCATGCTACACCAGGCTTGTGTCAAGGACAGTGTTTTCTGACCAGTATCCCAGATAGTGTTAGCCGGGCCAAAATCCCAGTGTCAGATGGACAGAGTGGTCATGTCACGATATAGCCAGACACAAATAGGGTTGTAGGGGGATATGATTGTATAATTATTGAACAAATGTAAACCTTTCTCAAACTTTGTATTGTGTGCTATTGTCCTTTACAGGAAAGTTTCTTTGACAGCAAATGTTAAAAAGTCGTGGATTAACAATGATCGTATGCTTGACTGTGAAATATATTGCTTGCTTGCTCAGTTTTCGTTAAACTATATCAAAATATTGTTCAGAATTTTCGTTAGAATAAACGCACAATACAAAGGCGACACTAACTTACACCCCCCTAAAAATAAACTAAATAAAGATAACAATAATATGTATTCATTTACAATTAGCTAAATTGGTGAGACCTCTCCTTTTGATAAACTAGAACACAATGAGGCCATGAGCCACGGTTGTATGTGAACGCAACTGGTGGCTGCAGGGTGCATCGCGTTGTTGTGTCGACCCTGCATGTGAGTGAGTGAGTGAGTGAGTATGGTTTTACACCGCTTTTAGCAATATTCCAGCAATATCACGGCGGGGGACACCAGAAATGGGCTTCACACAATGTACCCATGTTGGGAATCGTACCCGGGTTTTCGGCGTGAAGAGCGAACGCTTTAACCACTTGGCTACCCGACCGCCCCTGACCCTGCATGTAATGCATGTACACTGCACATAATATGTCACAGATGTAATTGATTATTGCCTGTGAAATACATTACAATTTGTTTGTGTTCTTAATTTCTCGTGTATGCAATCATATTGCAATTGATCTCTAATACTGTTACTTCCCCTGTCTGGTTGTCCTTTCGTTTGCCTACGCAGTGATTTAAACGGCCGGTACGCAATGCTGTACTGTGACATAGCCTACCGATCTACCATTACGTCAGCACGTTGATGATTTCTTACAATCGTATTGGTATGTCATGCACATTAGCAGGCTTCTAGCGAGTGGCAGATTCGTTAAAGGGGGACTCCGTTCCACGTCATGGAACCTAATTGCTATCTAGATCTTCACGTTCTAATAAGTGTTCGCTGTGAAATTTAGACATCGTCTTCATGCAATAAGGCTAACCATTACCTACGAGCTTGCTGTAAAATGCGACTATGCTTGTCGTAAGAGGCGACTAACGGGATCGGGTGGTCAGGCTTGCTGACTTGGTTGATGTACGTCACCGTCTCCAAGTTGCGTGGATCGATGCTCATGATGTCAATAACTGGATTGTCTGGTCCTGACTCGATTATTTACAGACTGCTGTCATATGGCTGGAATATTGCTGAGTGCGGCGTTAAACAACAAACCAACCAAACCAAACATTACATACGAAGCTGCGAAACATCAACAATTATATACGTAATCACCGCTTTAAATCAGCTTGAAATTACCACAGCAGAAAAGTTGGAAGATCTTCCTGTTTGGCAGAACGTTCACATATCATAAAAACAAGGATGGGTTATTAGAAAGTTCGAATGGATTGTTTTCATAAATCACACGTGTGACATCCGCGACATGCCCCAGGCCAAATCCCATCTAGTCGGCAACAAAAGACATGTCACGTCCATCAAGCACTAGCTCGTAGCAACTTTGTGCCTGACAAGCGGACGCTTGTAGGTTAGCTTTCAGTGCGGCCTAACAAACTGTCTAGCCGAAGAGAAGCAACATGTCACTGTCGTCTTAAGGAAGTTGTCATCAAAGGTTTAGCACAGTGTTGCTCTATTTATAATAATGGGAGGGGTGAGAGAGCGTTCCATTGATAGTATAGACGGAAGTGAAATGACGTTTGTTTTCACATGTATGAAACAAGCAAGTGTCAAGTAAGATAATGTTCTTAATGTTCACTACAGAAATGTTCCCGTTAATGTCCTTTTCAATTTAATGATTTGTACCTGTGTAGATAAAAAGATTCATCCAAGTAATATTTAAAAAATAAAATGTAATGCACTGCTAAAATATTCAGCTTGTATTCAAGACAAGCGGTCCAGACAGAAGTCTGTAGCTGGAGTCAGCATCCATGTCTAAACCATTGTACAACGAACTGGTTCACGTGGAACTGCCCATACCATCATACCACTCGCATACAGTAGTACTGTGGCAGTTGTTACAAAGACTATATTCTTTAATTCGCAAACTAAGGATGCCAACTTCTTCCTTCCCTGAAACCGAAATACATCAAAATTTCCACTCTGAATCTCATTTTATATCCCTGAATCCCGACCACTACTAAACACAAATCTCAAAAAACATTGAAATAAAAGGTGCGATTTGAAGTTAAATTACTGAAACAAATACATAAAAAAATATATTTAGGAGATATTTAAGCTTGCAATGTTTGTTTTTTAAATGTTAAATGGAGGAACCAAATATGACTGTAGTACCACATTGAGTACACCTGATAGACCCCCGACTCTCGCGTACCAAGAAGGGTTGGCAGCCTCCGAACTATGCTACTGAAACTAAAACCCGATCATTTCTTGTATTAACTCACTCCTGAATCAGAATATGAAATCAGTACTTACCCAATGATGACACATTACTGGTGCTCCTGAAGGCGTAAACAAACAACACCATCAAAGCTGCCGACCCCACCAGGAGGTACCGTGCGGAAAACATCGTTCGTGTCATGACTGGGTGAAAGGTGTGTCCGAAGTAAGTCGTTGAACAACGCTGTGACCACTTACAAAGCCAGCCTGTGCAGTCACGTGACTAACATGTCATACATGAAGGCTGTGCCCCATCATAAAGACGTCTGCTGCCTTCCGGACAAACAATCCGTCTTTCTGTCAACCTCTGCTTTTATTGTCACTCTAATATGCCAAATACATAATTCTAAATAATTAGAAAAATAATTTCTGAAAATGTGCTAACATTTAGATACAAGGCATAGTGGTGAGGTGAAATGGGGTTTAACGTCGCGTCCGAGATTATTGCACTTATATAACGACTTGCATGCACGTGTGTATGTGTGTGGCCGCTTGTACTAGTCCGGTCTGATGCCGATTTATAGTGCTAGCCCACTGAGATACCATGCCGCAGTTTAACATGAATACCCCACTCAAACACAGTGTACTAACTCCGGGCCCACCAGGCCTCGTTTTGCCCTTAAATGCCTAGCGCAAGACAGGTTAACAACAAGTACCGTCTTTCGGTATGACGCGGCCGGGGATCGAACCTCGGACCATCAACTCTCCAGGCGGACGCTCTACCACTAGACCACGGATGCGGTCCCAAGGCATGGAGCCGTAAAGATTCAGGTTAGAGTACGTTTTCAGCAAACCATATTAACGGCAGTCTGTAAACAATCGAGTCTGGACAAGACAATCCAGTGATTGATATCATGAGCATCGACCCACCCAAGCATAGGTTGCTGACCTATTCTACCCATGATGTTCACGGGTGTCGATACTGGTGTCAACGGGGCGCGAGTGGTCCAGTCATCTGAGTTACGCAATTCTCTTCACAGAATGCTCTTGGTCTATCAGCACCATACCCGTGCTCGTGGGTTTCCACGAAGTTGTAAACGTCGGAGACCTTGCAACACTCTTGGCTCATCTTACATTACGCTGACACGCCGTGATTTGACAGGGAAACTGTTCAGGGTGGCGTTAGGCCCAACTTACATATTCACTAGGGTCAACAGTTGCCTGTGGGTTTAAATGCCCTAAGATCCCAATTGCGTGGATCGATGCTCATGATATCAATCCCTGGATTGTCTAGTCCAGACGCGATTATTTACAGACCGCTGTCACATAGCTGGAATATTGCGTTAAACAACAAACAAACAAACAAACATTACATTCCCTAAAAAAACTGATAGCAGTCAAATGTGCGTCGAAAAAGTCCGCGTTAACAAATACGCAGCATATTTAGGAAACATCATTGGTTTGTGCTTGTTGTTTAATGTCGCACTCAACAATATTCCACCTTAATATTGAGAGGCAGTAAATAAATGCACGTTGCAGCTGTGGTCGGCTTTTGGTTAGGGCATTCACCCTTTTGGAAAAATGTATTATTGTGCTAATTCCCAGCCTTCTGTGAGTTTAAGAGGTGAGTGCTATTCTAACGGTAGAAAATCATTACCTTGTATTGTTGTCGCCGTGTGCACATCTGAAGTACTACTACTAATAATAAGAATGTTATTACTAAAATTATATTAATTGATTATATTAAAGATACTGATATCGAAAGGGAATTCGCTAACAGGGTAATGAAGTTAGTGTTTGAGACAGCTGTTTCTTCACAATTCTTATATAGGAATTATTCAATTTTGTATAAGTGTGATGTAGACTGGTAAATAGCTTGTGTGAAGGTGGCCAATACAAACACATTCTGGACCTAAGAGTAAGAACAGGTTGCCAGTTGAAGCCAGCAATCGATGGGTTATCACATAGGAAACACAATAGCATCATTCAGGTCAATGCCCTATTGTCATACAGCGTAGAGCAAGTAGCAGTGACAAGTTCTATTTGTCCAAAATAACAATAATTTACGCAAAAACAAGAATGCCTATTGTCAAAAAGCAAATGGGCAGAGAAATAAATTCGCATTTCTGGCTATAGATACATGTTCGTGCAGTAAATATACATATTTTATTATATCGGAAAACTTTTTAGGGGAAGGTCATGTTGGTGTCTTAAAATTGTATGAAGGGTGAAATCAACCAATCGTTATTGGAAATATATACCCCCCCCCCCACCAACCCCCCCACCCCCCCCCCCCCCCCCCCCCACCCCCTGTGTATAATGATATGGACATTTGTAATGTATATAATGCCCAATACTCGTCTATAATCGAACACCATTGGTAATCCATAAGATATTCCAAATGTGTATTGTAATCAAATGTAGTATATTTGAAACTCGAAGACGCATGCCTTTGAGGACTTCGACGTTATAATAGTTCAGGGCAAGGCTATACTTTCTTACACTTCACACGGGTGTTGAGAAACGTTATTACTTTTTTAATATAGGACGAACCCTATGTATTTTTCGAGATGGGTTCAACATATAAGCTATACACATTAGCGTCGTAAATTGAACATTCTCAGAACACGTCAAACTGACAGGTTGTTCTATTTAATTGCGTGCACCCTTACGTTAAGAGACACAATACGTTTTAAACACACTAAAACATCCCACAAATGTTTGTTTGAGGGTACTTTAATCAGATTTCATGATCCCTTCAGTGCTTGATTATCCAAAATCCAGGCAGCAATAATTGGCATTTATATTTATTAAGTAAGGGTAAGATATATGGATGAACAACTTCTTTATTACAAGTAGGACCGACGTTTCGTTGTAGGTTCTAACACCGTTATCAAGCTAGTCATCACAAGCTTCTAAATGCCTCTCAGAGTTATTTATATTTATGTTTATACATATATTTCGTTCAGTTTAAACACGTGACTCGAAACATTCCACAAGTGCAAGTGAGTGACTATTGTTTTACAGCGCTTTTAGCAATATTCAAGCAATGTCAACGCGGGGGAAACTAGAAATGGGCTTCACACATTGTACCCATGTCGGGATTCCAACCCGGGTCTTCGGCGTGACGAGCGAACGCTTTAACCACTTGGCTACCCGACCGCCCCTCCACAAATGCAAGTGCTAACACACGTTAACATTGACCGAAGTTCACGTGGTGCACGTGAGTTGAGGTATTGCAACTTCTGCCTGCAACAGTCATATTTTTTTGTTAGTTGTTTAACGCCGCACTAAGCAATATTCCAGCTGTATGACGGCGGTCTGTAAATATTAAAGTCTGGCACATTTAGTCCAGTAATTGACATCATGAGCCTCGATCCACGCAATTGGGATACGATGACATGCATCAACCACGTAAGCGAGCCTGACTGACCACCCGATCCCGTTAGTCGCCTTTTGCGGCAAGCATGGTTTGGTGAAGACCTATTCTACCCCGGATCTTCACGGGTCGCAACACTCACGTGAGCAGTCTGACTGTGGTGCATGTACTACACAATGTCATAACAAAGCAAACTGCAACTGACGTAAATTAAAGGGCATCGCACCGGTGCAGGCTGAAACGGCACCTCACCAAAACGTCACCGATTTCTCGGGCGAAAACGGCTACTATTTGTCGGGCGAAAACGGCACCTCTATTTTTAATAACGATAAGAACAATTTATGTAGTAGAATGAATGCTTTATTGACATGCTTTATTATGATGGGTCCACTGGTCACAGTTGTCACACGATACAGCATGTTGATTTTTTTCCGACATTCTTCTCGTATGCCATTGTGAATATTTGTGATCTGACAACACTTACTTAGTTTATGTTTTAACGTGCGCTTTCCGACATATGTGTATTTCGCGCACGGCCTGACAGCACCATGTTAGGCCTCTTAAATACAGTTTCAGCTTGACATTGAGTTAATTTGAGTAAAGGTACTTTCAACTTCAAAGCATATAATGGTTTTACAATAAATTTAGTTGCGCCTCCCAATCAAAGTCATTGGAGAAGAGGCTAATATCTACTGTAAACTTGTTTTAACATTTCACAATTATTGGTGTTTATTATTGCTGAATGCGGCGTTAAACAACAAATAAACATCAAACATGTGGCCATAAAAGTTTTAATCCCTGTGGCCATGCAGATTGATTCAGAGATACTTTATAGAGCACAAACGCCCGCCTCGGAGAACCTTGTGCCTCCTATGGCACGGCCTGCGTGGTGTGTATATGCTTCGGCTAACCTCATGAAAGATGGTCTACGTCATCTTGCCATGTCCCCTCAAATCTTGAGAAATATGAGATGTTGCTTATAGCGATTAGAAAGGACTGTATCCCGGGCTGTTACGTTTGGGATATCTGTCCTTCAAACACAGGAGTCCATCCGCGGGTCCACAACACTTTATTTGTGATATAATAATTACAGCATCTGTATAATCACGATTGTGGTAACGAGACAGACATGGCGAGGCAGCATATCAGAGGCGTCAGAGAACCTACCTGCCTAGCCGCTGTCAAGCCCCGACCAACAGAAAGTATTCTAATTTTAACCAGTGAAATCACTGACCAGCTGCTCGAATACGATACCTCTCTGGTCAGCCTCCAGTATCCCGCACCTCATCCTCTTCCTCATCCACAATGTCAAGCTTCAGTGGCCAACCGGCCATTCTCTAGCGCTAATTAGGAGCCACCGACCTGCACATGACTCCGTGCAGTTGGCCATAGTAATAATAGCCCAGCTGCTGTTATAATTTGAATTGCGAAGCGCTGTGAAACTTTATCTATATATATATTTAACTTATTTAACTCAGGGAATATATAAGACATATATAAACTCCCTGTTAAAACCTATACTCTGCCAAACTGCCTACGATATACGCCCTTTCTGTAAAGAAGGACGTGTCCCACGTAAAGCATTGAGAATGAGGTAGGGATTAAATTACAATATACATGATACAAGTTAAATACTAAAGCATGAAACATGTTATACAATTAATACAACAGGGTAGAGACGGTAAAGCCATACCATTCAGATTGTACTGATGTGACAAAGTATACAGGGATTAGCATCAACCATGGTTGATTCACAAATCTTAAATGATGAATTCATTTTGAATTTAACAACGTCCACCGTAAGCTGCATATTAATTATCCATAACTTAGTATAATAATAAC